TCTTTTACCATAACATAACAGGGAGTATCAAAAGCTTACAGAGTTCTGAGTCTACTACCATAACTTAACGGGGAGAAGTAAAAGTTTAAGAGTGCTGAGTCTAGTACCATAACTTAAAGAGGAGTAGCTAACAGCTTTCAGAGTCCAATACCATAATTTTATGGTGAGTTGCAAACACCTTACAGATTGCCGAGTTTAATGTCATAACTTAATGGAGAGTAGCAAACAGCTTACAGATCGCTGAATCTGGTACCATAACTTAATGGGGAGTAGCAAACAGCTTAAAGAGTGATGAGTCTAGTACCATAACTTAATGGGGAGTAGCATACATCTTACAGTGTGCTAAGTCTAGTACCATATTTTAAGGGGGAGTAGTAAATAGCTAACAGAAAGTTTAATCTAGTACCATAACGTAATGGGAAGAAGTAAAAGCTTCCATATTGCTTAATCTTGTACCAGAACTTAACAGGGAGTAGCAAAAAGCTTATAGAGTGCTGAATCTAGTATCCTAACGGAACAGGGACTAGCAAACAGTATAAAGAGTACTGAGTATTTTGCCATAACTTAAAGGGGAGTAGCTAACAGCTTTCAGAGTCCAATACAATAATTTTACTGTGAGTAGCAAACACCTTACAGATTGCCGAGTTTAATGCCATAGCTTAATGGGAAGTAGCAAACAGCTTAGAGATCGCTGAGTCTGGTACCATAACTTAATGGGGAGTAGCAAACAGCTTAAAGAGTGTTGAGTCTAGTACCATAACTTAATGGAAAGTAGCATACATCTTACAGTGTGCTAAATCTAGTACCATAATTTAAGTGGGAGTAGTAAATAGATAACCGAGAGTTTAATTTAGTACCATAACTTAATGGGAAAAAGTAAATGCTTACATAGTGTTGAGTCTAGCACCATAACTTAATGGGATTAGCAAACAGCTTACAGAGTGCTGAATCTTGTACCCTATCTGAACAGGGACTAGCAAAAAGTTTAACGAGTGTTCATTCTAGTACCGTAAATTAATGGGGAGTAGGAAAATGCTTACAAAGATCTGAATATAGTACCATAACTTAACAAAGTGTAGCAAACAGCTTATAGAGTGACGAGTCTAAATCCATAACTTAACAGTGAGTAGCAAACATCTTAGAGAGTTCTGAGTTTAGTACCATAATTTAACAGGGAGTAGTAAACAGCTAATAGAGTGCTTAATCTAGTACCATAACTTAACAGGAAGTAACAAGTAGCTTGCATAGTGCTGAATCTAGTACCACAACTTAATGCTGAGAAGCAATACCTTACAGTGTGCTAAGTTTATTACCTTAATTTAACGGGGAGTAGCAAACAGCTTACCTCTATAAGCTGAATCTAGTACAATCACGTAACCACGAGAAACAAACAGCTCACACAGTGCTTCGTTTAGTACCATAATTTAACTAGGAGTTGCAAACATTTGATAGAGTGTTAAGACAGTACCATAACTTAATGGTGAGAAACAAAAACTTATATAGTGCTGAGTCTAGTACTATAACTTAACGGGGAAAAGCAAACAGCTTATAGAGTGCTGAGTCTAGTACCATAAATTAACAAGGCATAGCAAACAATTTACAGAGTGTTGAGTCTAGTGCCATATCTTAATGGGGAGTAGAAAAGCTCACACAGTGCTGAGTCTAGTATCATAACTTAACGGGCAGTGGCAAATAGCTCACAGAGTGCTGAGTCTAGTTCCATATTTTAATGGGTAATAGGAAACAGCTAACAGGGTGCTTAATCTAGTACCATAACGTAATGAGGAATAGCAAACAGCTTGCAGAGTGTTGAGACTAGTAGTTTAACTTAATGGGGACTAACAAACACCTTGCAGATTTCGGAGATTAATACCATAACTTAACAGGGAGTAGCAAACAGCTTACAGAGTGCTGAATCTAGTACCATAACTTAACGGGGACTGGCAAACACCTCACAGATGCTGAGTCTACTACTATTACTTTACAGAGAGTGGCAAACAGCTCATAGAGTGCTGAGTATAGTATTATATCTTAATAAGGAGTAGCAAAAAACCTCACACAGTGCTGTGTCTAGTACCATACTTTAACGGGGAGTAGCAAAAACTAATAAAGTGTTGATTCAAGTACCATAACTTAATGGGAAGTAGGAAACAGTTTAAAGTGTGCTTAATCTAGTACTATAAATTAATGGAGAGTAGCAAACAGCTTACAGTGTCCTACATCCAGTACCATAACTTAACAGGGAGCTAAAAAACAGCTTACAGAGTGCTGAGTATAGTACCATAACTTAAAGAGGAGTTGCAAACAGCTAAGAGTCCTAGTTCTAGTAACATAACTCAACAAGGAGAAGCAAACAACTTACAGAGTGCTGAGTCTAGTACCTTAACGAAATGGGAAACAGCTTAATCAGTACTGAATCTAGTACAATAACTTAACAGGGAAAAGCAAACAGCATATATAGTCTTCTACTATAACTTAATAAGGAGTAGGAAACTCCTTATTAAGGAGTAGAGTACTGAATCTAGTACCATAACATAGTTGGGAGTACCAAACCACTTACTGAGTGATGAGAGTAGTGCCATAACTTAACAAGGAGTATCAAACAGCACAGAGAGTGCTGAGATTGGTACCATAACTTAATGGGGAGTAGCAAACAGCTTACAGACCTGAGTCGAGTACTGTAATTTAACAGGGAGAAGCAAACAGCTTTCACGGTTCTGTGTCTAGTACCATAATACAGAGTAGCAAACAGCTTACTGAGTGCTTAGTCTAGTATCATAACTTAACAGGAGTAAGAAACAGCTTACAAAGTGCTTAATCTAGTACCATAACTTAACAGGGAGTGGTAAACAGTTTACAGAGTGCTGAGATTGGTACCATAACTTAATGGGGAGTAGCAAACAGCTTACAGACTTGAGTCGAGTACTGTAATTTAACAGGGAGAAGCAAACAGCTTTCACGGTTCTGTGTCTAGTACCATAATACAACAGGGAGCAGCAAACAGATTACTGAGTGCTTAGTCTAGTATCATAACTTAACAGGAGTAAGAAACAGCTTACAAAGTGCTTAATCTAGTACCATAACTTAACAGGGAGTGGTAAACAGTTTACAGAGTGCTTATTCTAGTACCATAATTTAACGGGGAATAGCAAATATTTTACTGAGAGCCGAATGTAGTAACACAAGTTAATAGGGAGTAGCAAACAGTTCACAGAGTGCTGAGTGTACTACCATAATTTAACGGGAAATAGCAAACAGTTTACAGAATGCTTAGTCTAGTACCATTTTTAACGGGAGTAAGAAACAGCTTACAGGGTGTTGAATCAAGTACCATAACTTAACAGGGATTGGTAAACAGCTCACAGAGTGCTGATTCTAGTACCATAACTTATCGTGGAGTAGCAAACAGCTTGCAGAGTCCTAAGTCTAGTACCATAACTTAAAAGGGAGTAGCAAACAGCTCACAGAACGCTGAGTCTAATACCATAGTTTAATGGGGAGTATCAAACAGTTGACAGAGTGCTGAGTCTAGGACCATAACTTAATGGGGAGTAGCAAACATGTTACCGAGTGTTGAGTCTAGTACCATAACTTAATTGGGAGTAGCGAACAGCTTACAGAGTCCTGAATCAAGTACCACAACTTAATGCTGAGTAACCAAACCTTACAGTGTGCTGAGTCTATTACCTTAACTTAATGGCGAGTAGAAAACAGGCTAGAAAGTGCTGAGTTTCGTACCATAACTTAACGTGGAGTAGCAAACAGCTCACACAGTGCTGAGTCTAGTATCATAAGTTAACGGGGAGTGGCAAACAACTCATATAGTGCCGAGTATAGTATTATATCTTAATGCGGAGTAGCAAACAGCTCACAGAGTGCAGAGTCTAGTTCCATATTTTAACGGGGAGTGGTGAACAGCTTACAAAATGTTGATACTAGAACCTTAACTTATTGGGGACTAACAAACACCTTTCAGATTTCCGAGTTTAATACCATCACTTAACGAGGAGTAGCAAACAGCTTACAGAGTGCTGAATCTAGTACCATAACTTAACGGGGAGTGGCAAACAGCTTACAGAGTGCTGAGACTAGTACCATAACTTAATGGGGAATAGCAAAACGCTTTCAGAATGATGAGTCTAGTACCATAACTTAACGGTGAGTAGCAAACACCTTACAGAGTGCTGAGTCTAGTACCAATCTTAACGGGGAGTAGGAATGTTTTACCCAACATTTATTATTATGTTATATAAATCGAAGTGAGTATACAATTTACTTTTTGCAGAACCTGAACTAAATACGGTGTGTTTACTGGCATATAATTTATCCAGTATTTGCCATATTATTAGGTTTCTTATTAATACTGAGTTGTCGTAGCTTTCAAATAACCTTTATCTCTACAGGCATCATTAAGACTGGTTGCATATTTATTATTAGCCATTTAAGGTATAATATCATGTCTTCTAACAGCAACATCTCACTTTTATCATCAAAGAAATTTACTTTAAATAAATTGAAAGATCTTTTTTTAATAAAGTTGATACTGAATGTAAGAAAAACATGAAACTGAGACAGACTGAACAGAATCTGTTTAAAATTTCATATAAACTAAATAAAAAGCTAGTTTGTTACTGAATGTAAAATGTAAAATACTGATATACTGGCACGTGAAGGATAATTGTTTTATTTTTTTTTTTTTGTCAGGATTAATTATTTCAATCATATTTAATCTCTACGCTACAATTGATATCATTGTGTAAAACCTGATTTTTTCTACACATGATGTTAGGTTTATAAAACATACATAAATAATTCAAATTAAAAGCTACCAACATTCTCCTGTCTGTTAACGGACTAAATTCTGAGAAGTATGCATGTTCTTTGAAATTAAGCGTTACTGTGTAGGAAGTACAACATGCCTCACTTGATTGTCATTTATAGGAAAAGAAAAAATGACACAAGAGTTGTGAACTGTCTAAGATGCTTTTTCAGTACCTAGTTGTCAATTTCATATGAACAACAATACGACAATTTTTTTTTCTATATGCAGATTTCAATATTTTGATAGATACTCATTAAAGGATAGGGTTTGATTTACTAATTATACTACACATTATTTTTACTTACACGTATAACAAGCAATCTGATACGAAACATGTCAAACAAACAAATACAACACTTATTCTGACATAACTTTATACAAAATGTACCTCGCGGAATACACAAACACACGCATATATATATATATATACCGAAATAGGCTGATGATTTCATCATGATATTTTCATTTCATTACGTTACATTTACATACATATAAATACATTTTATCCTTCGCTTTCTTTATTAAAACTTTTCATTGGTGAGCATTATCTATTCCATCAGTCGAGTTTCTCCAGTATGCTATGACTTTAACAGGCTCGTCTGGGTTCCAAGGAGCTAGAAAGTTGAGTCAAACGGCGCTGATTGTCAATAACTTTTATATTTCTGAAACAAAAATACATGTTGTGTATAATTTATATATTTTTAATCAGTTGAACAGAAGACTGGCAATACTAGCCGTGTTTCTTAGCTGAAGTCATTACATCAAAACTAATTGTTTATACAGAATGACTTTGCTATCATATTTCTCACTCTTGGACTATTTTTTTGATATATTTAGGTTTCTTAATACTTTCGTTTTCACATTTTAACTAATTACCAAAGATGTTGCAATTTATCATGTGAGTCCCTGCGTTATATATTACCAGGCCCTTTTATTAAGACCCAAGACATGCACATATAAAACATTTTATTTACGTAATAGGGATTTATGTTTGCAGGAACATCCTGTTCATTTGACCGGCTGTAAAAAGACATCTGTCGTCAAGGGCTGTCACCAATTGTAATCGAAAGTATGTATGTTCACCAAAATCCTTTGGCTACCGACAGTAGAGACAATTAGAAAGAAAAAACAAACGGCTAAGCTTGTAAAGTACAACAGGTGTCAGCTTATGTCGTTGTTGGCTGATTCCTTTAATATTTAGGGCTTAAGTGGCCAAGATTCATCCATACTGTGTGATGTACATAACGTAATCTGTCTATGAGAAACGAAAACTTTTCTGAAAATATCTATCTCAGATGCAAATAATATATTGATATTAACTTCCGATCTGAAGTTTTTACTTTTAGAGATTAGAATGCATTGTTTCTTCAGTTGGGTACCCTCGCTGTTAATAATATTTTCAGCCGTAAACCCAAAAATATCTCACGTGGTTCGGCCAGCTTAAGAAGCTTGTTGTTCCTAACTTGTATACTAAGCTACCAGTGCAAGCTAATCTCCGTAATAAAATATAAAAATACAATAGGATATGTTTAACACTCAAACCGATACTTTTAATCACAGTAACGATAAAGCAAGAACAGAGTAAGAACGACTTCATTAGCGCTTATATTGCACACAGTGAATGAATGAAACCAATAATAGGGTCTAATGAGTCACATTTCACTGTTTTCTAATTGATGGTAGTGTTAGATATAGTGTCATTTAACTTTCCTGGAATTGTTCTAAGGTATGAGCTGCTGGAGAAGGTTTAATGGATTGGTAACAATCTTCATGGCAAGGGTTGAGAATCGGATTTCTTTGGAAGGGGGAATATACTTGGACGTTGTTTCTATTGTGTCTATTCAGTTGATGAACAGAACTACTCTAAAACGATAATTAAATAATCTACAGCTTTCATACAGCCCAAAATAAGCTCGAAGAGCATGATAATGACTTCATTCACTCTCACTGGTCAGTACAGTCGTGAAGGCTCAATAGTTACGTGATAAACTTGAATGTCGCATTTCTCACTGTAGTCCTCTGTCGACATCTATAAACAATTGTAGAAAATACTTCTCTAAGATTGAACTAAACTAAAAAAACATACCATCTAGCATCTTGAGCAATTTATACTATACCGAGTCTAGGTTATAATTGAGGCAAAGGTTGGAACAACCCGATTTTATTTGCTTGTACTATTAATGTGTCCACACGGTATAGTAGGAGGTTATATAGCAGTGAAAAGAAAAGGTGAAACAAATTCAACTTCTCTGATTTACCTTAAAATAAAAGCAACTGAATTTTCATTTGATTCACAGTTTTTAATGAACTTTATGTTAAAATATGATACGAAAAAGTATGTTTTCAAAGATCACTAAGCATAAAAAACAACGAATCTAAAGTACACCAAAATTTCTAAAATTTAGTTGTTACCTAATGTATTCTCTTACTTCCTGTTGGACTTTGCTCATTGGTGGTGCCTCCAAGACTGGAAAGTAGAAAAATATACGTCTATGCTAAATGTTATATTCAGCACTAAATTTAAAATGAAGATAAAATATGCTTTTAACATCAAATAGATATAACTTTTTTTTAACTGGAGTACATGTTAATGCATTTTGTTAAAAAATGTAAAAGAAATCCCACAGATTTAAAAGAGTAAGATAAAAACATAAATTTTAAGAAACAATGACTTGGCCCTGCGGTATCAATTATCAGTTTCTTCAATTGTATGTTAACATTGTTAGCTGTAAAACTGACCCAACAGGCATGTAGCCCCAAGGCTATGATAATAAAAAGATGGGATTTTATTCTAATGATTTGTGTTTTACATCTGGGATTCATATTGCTGTTTTAACCAGTGAATTTTCTAAGTACTTCTAAATAACTAAATAAGTGTCCCCTGCTGGGACAGCGGTAAGTCTCCGGATTTACTACGCTAAAATCAAGGATTTGATTCCCCTCGGTGGACACAGCAGATATCCTGATGTGGGTTTGCTATAAGAAAAACACGCTAAATAAACAAGATTTTTTTTTTTATGTTGAGCAAACATTTCAACTGTTTCCTAGTCAGATACATAGTTTTCAGATAAAATGTAATTTATTTATTGTTTGTGAAAATGTTTCGCAAGGCGGCATATTTCAAATCGTACTTCTGTTTACGGATTAGAATTTTGAAAATCTCTTTGACTTATCATAATATCCTTTCAGTCACTTAGCAAAAGGTTCAATATAAAGTTTCCTCTTAATCATTCAAAAGGTGTAACAAAATTTTAAAGTGTAAAATGAGCGGTATGCAGTTCTTATATTCAATAAGTTTCATATTTTTCGAAAACATTTTCAGAAACGACCAAGGTGCAGAACAGGTTTTATAAAATCGGTGCATGTATGAGTGGAGTATTAAGTATCAAATCCTGTCTCCAACTTTTATACATATATATTTAAATACATAATACCTTTCACTTTCGTGTTCACCAAGAGAATATACAGCGGAATGTGTTATATAAGTTAAAGTTTTACCACACTGCCACTTTATGTACAGTTTCGAAGAGTAAACAGGAAATATAATATCGGTTAACTCTCACGATTTTTAGAAAATTTTAGTTATCCCTCAGATTAACGCCTTGTTTTTATACTGTTTACTACTGATGGGGGCTACATTTTGCACCATTTTGGGTACTTTATATTACATATAGAAAACTACAATAACGCATCATATTTTGATAGTAAATATTTTTCACAAACAAATAATTTTAAATTGAACTTTACAAAACCTCAAATAAATCAATACATACGTATTTTAATGTTGTAGAAGAGTAGAAAATGTAATATTTTGACTTAAAGCTATAGCATTGGAGCTAATAAAATAGATAAAATAAGCATGTTTTACACTATAGCGCTTAAGATATTTTGTAGGAAAGTAATTAGACATGCAAACTATCTTGTCTATAAAACTGGACTACAGATAATTATTATTATATATCAGGGATTAAAATACACACTAGCTTACCTAAGGCCTGACTCCTGCAGTACCGCAGTGTACGTAAGGTCTGTGCAATCATGTGCTAAATAAATAATAAAAGAGTGTTTCAAAGTTTTCAATAATTTATATATATAATAATAGCTTATAATATACCTAAGTATAAAACGTTTTTTGCAGATTATTTTCCCTAGAATTCCTTAACTACTATCTATATAGCCAAGTAGGATATGCATTTTAAAAAAGGACATGACTTACATAAATATTGAATGTATAAAATTCTCATATACTTAAATGTTTAAAAGAAATATGTACATAAAGCGCGTGATGTTATAAATCTCATTTGATTGGTAAAAACATGAAAGTTTATCGTAAACGTAGTTTATGAAAGTTTTTATCCAAGTATCTATCATAATGTTTGTGTAATATTTTGCTGATCTCTAGTGAAAAATTATCCAGAAGATACCATTTCAATGAAAAATCTTATATTCAGAGGTTTCACGACTGGCAAAAAAAATAAGTTGTACTAAACTACAAATTAGATGACGTGCTTCAAATATTTAGGTTACTTCCCTGTACAATGAATTCAAAAAGTCGACTATATAAACGTATCGGAGTGGAAACGTAGTCAAATTTTTTTCATTTGCCCCTATCCGTAGTTTTATATCTCCATATACTAGACCGATGTAGACACATTGTGAATACTCCACTGACGCAATTTGTCGTAAAAAAAAAGACGAAACCCACTAAAATGAAATTGAGTTAGAAAATGATTCTCAGTCATTCAAAAAGTTACAGTTCGCCCCTTTACAAACTTGAATGTCAACACCATTTCGTGTGTATTAGGAATAAACAATACAGGAAAAATAAGTAATTAGTAACGTACTTCTGAATAACATGGGGAATTGTTTGGAACGTAATTTTACTGGAGCGGATTTATAGTTTCAGAAAAAAAACCTGGTTTGAAGGCAAGCGTGGTCCCTATACACACACATATATAATTCTAATGAACATAAGCAAATGTTTGAAATTTTTTATAATGTACAACGACTATCTACCGTATGGATGTTTTAAAATGCAAAGTTGTTTTTGGACTGTATCTACGGTAAACCAAGAGAAAGTATCAGATGGAGGAATTCATTTACCCTAGTGCTAAGGCCAAATTAACCATTAAACTTTAATAAACCTCAAATGTCATGTCAAACACTCAGCTGGTAAATTTACTCTCTATTTTTTGTAATAGTTCTTGGTATTTTTGACCCTTCTTTAAACTTTAAACTGTTATTATACGTCATTAAGACTACTTTACTGACAAAAGTCAACACATAAATGAATAAAATTGAAGTATTTTTTTCACTTTAAGTAACAAAGTGAGGGTATGAACACAATTTCAAACGCAGTACCGCTGAGAACCCCAAGGGAGTCAGAAACACAAAATCCTATGACAGATTCAGTTTCAATGACCCTGAAAACATACTGTCCTAACTCGTTATGCCTGGTAGACCTTCCGCACACGTTTTAGCACTCCTTGGTAGGAAAGCTATGCCTTACAGAAAAAAAAAAGAAAAAACACCTCTGAACCGCTCCGAGTCCACCTGCCAAGTTTGATCCTAGTGGCTCCAAACTGTGGGAGGAGTTCGCGGACAAACAAACAGATTCACATACACACAATGTGAATTAATATAGCATTGCTACCATCAGAAAATAACACATACGTAAACTTCCCTGCAAAACAGCTAAGACTTTAGATTAAGAAGAAAAAGCGAACCAACAATACTATAATTTTTGAATGAATAGGTAGTAGATCACATACTGAAGAAACGAGCTTTTCATTTCTTCATTATGTAAACAACTATCTCTTGTTTGGAAAAACACATTTCCTGTACTTTACTGAAGAGGAGCTAACAGCTTATATACTGAAGATATAACACCACATAAACTATACTTTCCTGGAGAAGAAGCTAACAGCTTATATACTGAAGATATAACACCACATAAGCTATACTTTCCTGGAGAAGAAGCTAACAGCTTATATACTGAAGATATAACACCACATAAACTAAACATTCCTGGAGAAGAGCTAACAGCTTACATATTGAAAGTATAACACCACTTGAGCTAAACTTTCACAGGGAAGAGTTAACAGCTTATATACTGAAGATATAACACCACATAAGCTATACTTTCATGGAGAAGAGCTAACAACTTATACAAGGAGCGAATAATTTTATTATGACTTGTGTAATTACTGTTATTTCTTATTTAATTCCAACATTTTTCAGAATAAAACATTAACCTCCTTTTCTATATGTCAAAACTGTTCGAAACTACGATTTTTTTGCGCTACATATTTTTAATCTAACAAGTAAAAATCAAAAGTCAAGGTTTGTGACATTAACTGAGTTTCATTCATTGTTAACAGTTTTAACACTTTGACTGCGGCCACTTTAAATGCACTTGGCATTTTTGCGAGCCGTAAACTGTATACAGTACACTCGCATTCAACTCTTAGAGATAGATCGTACCCTATACAGCGAATCAGCAGTCAATGGGTTAAAGCGAGTACCCAAAAATAATATTTACCATTTTTTCGAAATTAACAAGTCCTTCTAAGTATGTTTTATTTCCCTCGTGCGAAAAGGTCATATCTTTAAGAAGCAAGGGCATGAAAGGTATTATAGGTGGCGCCATCTTAGCAACAAAGATCCTATAGCGTCTATGATTTCGCGACGGATCAATCAGTGCTTCAAAATCTGCGTACATTTTCCTGAGCTTCCCCGGCAGCCTCTCCCAGGTGAGTGACATTCGATTCACTGCGACGTTACTCAGTCCCATAACGATCGCATAGAAGGCGTTGAGATTTTGGTAACCTCGACAGCTGTAACACGTAAAATATATATAAATACATTTATAAATGGTGGATTATTTCGATTTGATTTCTAACCAATTACATTACTCAACATACCGCTATATTTGGTTTACATATTTTGAGGCTCCGTGGTAATATATTTTTTATATAACTGCTTGAGTGTGTTTCAACTGTGATTATAATATTAAACAGAAATATTTAGGTTTCCTCTCATGAATCAGAAACCCATTTTGTACACTATGAAGTGCCACTTAACAATCAAAACATTTTATAAAGATATACTTTCATTTCTTTTAATGGCATTGATGATGAAGGCGATAGTAGAACCCAAAAAAAAAAAACATTAAAAATAATGTAAAAAACAGTTTCCAAATTAAAATACAGAGTCTTAAAGTAACGTTGAATGAATATAGCTATGTTTACAGAACACTATCAAGGTTAATTATCTAGATAATTCTGAATATTTCACGGGATTCAATTTGAGCTTTTTCTACAAATTGAACAATACATTGTCTACATAAGTATTAATGATATATGAGCATCAGAGCTCAGAAAGCATTTAATGCTGCATACATGCATCATATATACATCTACGTAACATGCTATTTTAAAGAGATTTCTAAAATAAAAGATAAATATAGACTTCGGAAGCTACATTTGATCAGCAAATTAGTGTCTAATAGAAATAAAAATATAGTTAGTATGACTAGTAAAAGGGGGAAAACACACACACATATATGTACATATGGAAAGTCAGCGCTTGATCGTAATTAGCAGCTTAATTGGTTTTCCTAAGTCATTAAGATAATTTATGGTAGCTGAGAGAAGGAACTTCATTAATTCTTGATCAAACGGTCTCTGTAGCCTGAACAACATAAACACGTTCACTTTTTCAAGTACTTCTTAGCTAGTCCTAAGATAACAATTATGTCGATCAACTAAGATCTCGCATGAAGCAATATTTCAATAAATATGTTCTATACTAAGCCCGGAGGCTGAAGTTAGATCCACGTTCGTTGTTCGTTTTTAGAATAACGAAAACTGTTTCGTTGTTCGTTTTTCAGCTATTTAATACATACCGAAACAAGAAATTATCTACTTTTTGTTTTTCATTTATTAAATAAGACAACACGAACTAGTTTGTTGTTCGTTTTTGAAAAGCTGAAAAACGAGCTGGTCTTTTTCATTTTCTTCTGGTCTTTGAACTCTCAGATATCCGGTATTTCAGCTGTATGTGCAGAGTCTATTTCATTTTTGATACTCCCATAAATATTTTTAAAAATTGCTGTTGTTTGTGGAAATCTTTTTAAAATATTCTAGACAACACTAGCAGTTTTATGAGTCTTATCACAGGTGTATATCGTACAGAAGATTAAAGTTCTCTTCTCTTAGAGCAGCAAACACCATTGAGTGAGACTTTGAATAAGTTGAAAGAAATAAAGCACATGACACAATATCTTTTTTCACCCATCTTGGCTAAATATGAAGCGATTTAGTATTATCAAATATAAACTTTTACGATCTTACATTGTAATTATTTTACAGTCTTGATTTCACTTATTATTGACAGGTGAAGTACCTACGTTCATAAAAGAAGAGTACATACAACTGATCAAAGAAAACAAATAAAAAAACATTTATAATCACCATTTTGGTGCATATATAAAAACAATTAACAGAAAAATGCCACGATGTTACTTTATTCCATAAGATAAAGGAATATTGTAACAATTTTTCAAAGCCTTTGCTCCAGCGTATTTTTTATTAAACTCAAATAAAAGTCTATCAATTTAATAATTGAAATATTCCTTTAAATTGACAATGTTGGATGTGAGAATATTGAAATAATTATATTAACAACAAAAGGTCCCAAATTTAAAAATAAGATCAAATTGTATTGTATCCAGTAGTAAATTATTTCGTAAAAGTTGCATGACTTTACAAATTACTCTGCATATCATTACACCTCAAAACAGCATTCAGCAAAACAATAAAATAATGTTAAATAAAATTAAGTCTTAATTTCTTCTTAGTGTCCATCTTCTCTGCTTGAAATTCCTTTTTTTTCACAGAGAAATGAATTAGCAGGACTTGCGATATTCAACGTATAACTAGTTTTCTTAACAATTGTTAAAAGTTACTTTCAGTAAAAGATAACGAATAAAAATATCTGGAATACCAGTGTTATTTTATAACTAATATTACGTTTTATATGTTGAATAATGGAAAATTACAGATAGAAGTACACAAAGAAGGCTACCCAAGTAAATTTCTTGTTTGATAATGTCTTATATTTTTGAGGAGATGCTCTCTTTAATCACTATTTCTTATATCACAGCAAAGTATTCAACAAACTTCCCTGCCTCATTCCTCCACTGGAACAGACCTATAATATGCTGAAGCTACAATGCTCTGCCACTTGCTGACATGAGAAAAAAAGACTGACAATGTCCAGAAGTTGAGAAACTTTGTGTCATGTTTGTGATTTTCAAGATCATGCTTTGATGTTTGGTGCACGGAAAAGTAAATACAGAAAGATAAATAAGTTGTCAACTGGACAGGTATTGGAGATGTGGACAACTTCTTGCGGTAGGCAGATTTGTTCTCCCCAGTGTAATATATGTTGGGTGTTATTTTCTATATTTCTAGGCTTTCTTTCGTTCAGGGTTCTTGATGGCATGCTTACTCTTGGGTGTTGGTATTGCACGTGAAGGTATAAAGTATACAGCTTTTCTTTTTTCTTGCTGCCCATTGTTCTTCAGATATATGGAATAACTTGTACTTTTATTTGAAAAAAGTGTGTTCTATGGGTGAACCTAATTTGTCTTGTTGCATTGGTAAGTTATCAAAGCTGTTTTCCTTTATATATGATTCACAGTGGTTTCTTTGTTGCTGGGGCCATCTTTTGTTGGTATTCATGTAGACGTCTTTTGAGCTTGATAAATTTTCCATTTGTATTTGTCCTGCATAATGCTTTTCTTTATACTGTTGGTGAACTAATCTCAACCTTATACCCATCTTGCAAAAATAAACCAGTCCACAGTGGTGCTATTGATATATATGTTGTTATTTGGGTATTTGAGTGTTGTAGGGCTATGGAATTTATTGATTTCACCAGTAACACAAGCATCAATCAGCTCAGATTTTACGTGTTCCTTAAGTTGTTGAAAATGCTTTGCAAAGACTGGCTTGCTTGTTTCCAAATTCAAAATTGTATTGTCAAACTCATCATCACCAGGAAATGAATTATATTCCAAATAGATTATCTGAGGTTCAATGCTAATGTCCAGTTTGGACTGTGTTATCTGTATTCTGGGTGACTGGCTGGACCAAAAAGTGAAATGGACGGGAAGCGAAATACTGACTTAAGTTCCTCCAGAGTTTATGCATTAATCATAAGACCAATCACATACATTAAATACTTGCATGTTCGTTGTGAAGATGTCCAGAAATGTTATGTAGGAAATGTGCAGAGCATATACGGGTAACCGTCTTCTCTCCCCATTCACACTCCTTGTGTAGCACTTCCCATGAACGGCCAAGGTAACTGGAGATGTGTTCTTAGCTGAATGACAACAAAGTGATATGAATGAAAGCCCAACTGTTATCAACCTCTACACGCTAAGGTGTCTCCACCCGTGGTCGTATTTGGTGTAAATCTCGATTCATAAGCATAAGGTAGCTCATACATCAGCAACATTGAGGCTGTTGCTGATAGTTTCTGTTACAGGTAGTGGTGGGTCACCTTCCTCTTGTCATTTGAGCAGTATTGATGAAAACAGCATTATCTTTCCTTGTTCTGAAATCTTGGCTATAACTGCACCAATATAATCAAAATACAAAATTACTTTCTTATTAGCAATTTTATCTTGAAGTGTTGTTAGCTGTTCCCTTTCATATAGATGAACTTCTGGATGTAATATCTTATTGCACAAAGATCATCATTCAAATCCTTATATATTTCGTTCAACAATGCAACTTTGAGAATGACGTCTTTGGGTAACTTTTCCGATATATTGTTCTCTGAGAACATTTTCTGCATTACATTATTTGCCCCAAATCTTAAAGTATTGTTAGTCTTATAGAAAAATTCAGGAACTTCAGCTAAACGCTGGTAATATACATTTGATGGGCCAATCTGACTGATTTCAGCAGTTGCCAGTCTATGATCCACCCCTCTTACTTGCCTATCTCTGGTAAGTCCTACCTCATGCCTGACTACGGTATATGGACTGACTGTTGATAACTTGGCCTTCACTGGCTTTCCCTGTTCTGGCTCTTTCTTTAATTTCAAAACATATTGCACACATCCTGGAAACATGCAAACTGCTTTTCCACTAAAGAAAGAGCAATGAAAATTCCATGCAGCTTCCCGCACAATGTGATTTTTCTTGAAGTATAAAGAGCACATTGGATTCTGTGCAGCAATTTTATGTACAAACAGATTAATCCAGTTACCTGCTAACCTTATATGTTTTTATAAAAATGATCAGAAATGAACTTTATAGCATTAAAATCAAATGTGTTTTTAATAGTGTCGAGTAGACTAATATTAAATATTGCTTATTCCAACAGGCGTTCCCTGTATTTAACCACGAAATATTTGCGCATGAATGAATTCATCCTGAGATCACAGTAGTCTAAAGTCACAAAGAAATATCAAGTGAAAAATAAACTGGTTCGTTGTCCATGTTCTCTTATCCAAAAACTGAAAAACAAAAAAGAACCAGTTCGTTTTTCGTTTTTCAGAAGCCAAGAAACAAAATGGTCCCTTGTTCATGTTCTCTTATTCAAAAACATAAAAATGAAAAAGGAACCACTTCGTGTTTTGTTATTTTAAAAAAAAAAAAAACAGACGGCGAAAAACAAATTGGTTCCTTGTTCGTTTTTAGTTATTCAGTAGCTGAAAAATGAACAACTAAACAGTTTTTCGTTCGTCGAAAAACGAAAAACGAGCAACAAAATACAATCAGGTTTGTTGTTCGTGTTTCATTGTTAAAAAATCAAAAAACTGAAAAAGAACCAGTTACTTTTTCGTTCTTCGAAGCTTAAAAACAAACCGATTCCTGTTCATGTTCTTTTATTCAAAAACCTGGTTCCTTGTCAATGTTCCATTAGTCAAAATTTAAGATTTCAAAAGGAACCTGTTCGTTTTTCGTTTTTTGAAAAACGAAAAATAAGTGGTTACTTGTTCTTGGTTTCATACTTAAAAACTGAAAACTTAGATCTAACTTCAGATAATTGCCCTAACTTTTAATTCAAGTTGATATCAAACGAATTGTGATTTTTGTAGTCACTCTCCCCAAAAAAATGTAGAAAGATAAAGCCTATTATAAAAAAAATTCCAAATTATGATTATTGTCATCTACAGAACAATGAAAGTGAGATTTCATAAAAGTGGAATAAATATTAAAGTTGATGCTATTAAAGGAGATAATGTCACGGACATTTAATCTTAAAATCAAACGTTATTAAATCATTTCACTTCATGCAAGTTTTCAGCTCGAATATTATATTTACAAAATATATTTCTTTGGTTCTGAAATAATACATGTAGTAAACATATAATCATTATGTGTGATACGTCCTCGTAGCATGTAATTCATATGTAGTAGCTGCAATACAGTGCATAAGCTATGATAGGATTATTTATAATTTTTGTTGCATATGATTTTTATCAATTATTCAAAAGTGCAATTATAATGGGAGGCAGGCAGACATGTGGCTATTGAACGGGAAGTACTAGATAAATTATCTTTATTAATGATAATAAGTATACGAATTACAGACCTAAAAAGGATAGATTTACAGTTAGAATTTGGTAGTTGATTAAATTTTATTGGGATCTTGCGTACAATTAAGCATTTACAAAAGTTAATATCTTTCAAAGTGACTTTGTTATTCTTGAGATGCATGTTGTTATTGCCCAATTGCACTTTCATAATTTTATGGCTTTTATCTGCAAGGCGAAATTTAATTTGCTCTCTAACATTTAACATGTTCATTCAAAGAATTAAAATCTAAGGCATTAGTTCTTGTTTAGACTGTTTTATAGAAACTTACTATGCAGCCACTTTGATGAACTTCCGTAAAAGTTGAACTCGTCTGCTGAGAGAGGACGCCAGACAAAGCTCTGTCACTACCCAAAATTGAAGTACGTTGAACCTTCGCAAAAACATATCCAAGTTTGACATAGATTTCCTGAACTGATGTCGTCCAAAAACCTGATAGATCAGTTCATACTGAAAACACACACACAAAAAAACAGTGTTTTAATCCACCATCGTGTGATTTTCATTATGAATTATAATTATTTTTAATAACTCCTTCTATAGAGTAGTGAAAATAGAACTCGAACTTAACGCACATCTCCTGAACTAATATCTCCTCAAAATATCAGACCATAATAAAAGTTGGTGTGCTTTAATCTACATTTAGATAACGTTAAGATCGGGCTATTATTACTTTTAATTGCTTCTCAATACAAATCGGCTTTTAGATATCCCTGTCTTTCAATTTTACCATAGATTCTTTTACTGTACGTTATTTCAATGAGGAGAAACGTCAATGAATCTTCATATTAACTTTGATATAATCCCCAAAAATAAATCTTAAAATTATCTTGTTTGCAAAATCTAATTAACAAACGTATCCTTAAAAATATCATGATCATAAATCGTCTTGACTTGATTCTTTAAAATTTAGTTGACAAGTCACCCAGAAACGTAGAAAGCTGAATTTTCTTCTCAAAATAATAACTGTTTGACAAGCATGCTCTATAAAGAATATTGAAAATTAAATAAACATTAGCATTACGGACTAATCCTGCAGTGATAAATACATTATTATATATACTAATTTCACTCTGAATATTAAAAAAAATACAGCAGAAGAATGTGACCAAACCTTTAATTTTGAACATCACTGTTTTCTTATATAGTAGAACGAATATCAAACAACTGCAGCAAGAGGGTAATACAGTATGAAAATACAAAGAAATGATTAAAACTGGCGTAAGGACAGAAAATAGTAACCGGTCAACATTTCGACCAAACGACTTTCATATTTGGTTGAAATATCGACTATTTAAGTACTTTCATACACGAACATTCTAACCATTTCTTTGATTTTTCAGATATTATATTTCATTGATTTAATTCCACTTCTTTGTAAAATACTGTGGTAATATCAAAGTAGAAGAGTTGTAGGCATTGTAAGATAAATAGCGATCAATGTGGAATTTCAGTAAAAAAAATTAATTTGTAAATGTTCATACTTCTTCACACTTCTTATTGCTAACTTAGACCAGTATTTACTGTTAAATAAACGCTAACATTACTCAAGAGTATTGAATTTTATTAATAATTAATACTAATTTCTTTATGAGATTTTATCATTATACAGAAACAGATGAATGACTATATTTGAATATCATACGTCTTCTGAAAAGTTTATTTTTATATTTAGATTACTAAGGTAAGCAAATGCGTAACTAACCTCGTGAATAGCATTGAATAGCTCCCAGTCGTACAGAGACATCTGGTGGGCTAGGTCGTGACTACTGAACATTTCTAGTACATCACCAGTTCCTTCTTTTGGTCCTTCTTGCTCTGGAAGAGGTCTCTGAAACATTTTTTTACTTTAAAGATTTGTACGTCCCATATATCATATTTTTATCTTTTGTATACTTTATCTATCTGCAAGATATATGAATATCTCCAGAATTTCAAATACACCTATACTCTTCAACGAATAATCAAATACGATTTTATAACACAATAAAGAATTATTGAAGTGGTAAAAATCTGGCTATAAATTGCAAATAACTATGTTTTTATTGAACTTAACAACTTTGTAAAATTAATTGTGGTTGTTTATAAACTATTTTCCTATAAGAACAAAAGTAACGACATTGCAAAACATGCGTAATACGTCATAAAATGAATATTATTGACTAATGTAAACAGAGGATAACCATGCGTTATGTAAAACATAATATAAACATAAACTGATATATTTGTTTTTTTAAAAATCATAATATAGTGATTAAATACCACATTTCAGTTGTATTTTATAGAATATTTCGCCCTACATTTTAAGATGTACACTTTTGAATTCAGTATTTTAATAGTTTTGAGCTGTGATTACTTTAATGTTTGGTGGTTCAAATACGTATATAGAAAGAATAACAATAATTTCGTGATGCACAAATTTAATTTTCCTCGACATGATTGGAATCTCAGCGTATAACGAAAACTTAATAAGAGTTCTTTTCAGTCTGGAATAACTGGGTAGCCCACCGCTAAATTCAATCTTTGCTCACTTTGTTTATCTATATCTATTATCAATTGCACATTTTGAAGGGGCTTGCAAAGGTAACTGAAAAGAACTGCATTTTTTTATACTATATAGATTAGTTTTATCATACCTAGACAGGCCTCATTCGTCTCGCCCTGATGTGACAAAGACTACACATCATCTAATAAAATCAAAACAAATGTTACCACTAATCTAGTGTTGTCTGTTCTTGGCATTAATTTACACTGTGGATAAAGGTGGTGTATTATTATTGTCATAAAATTAATAGTTGACTGCAAGTGATACATAATTTGTGGAATGTATACCTAGGTATCTATAGAAAACGACATAACATTCCAAATCACAAAACTTGTGACGATATACGAGAACTAATTCAGACCTAACTTTGAACAATTTACAGATATCTAGGAAACAGGTTATATGTATTCATTTAACGGCATCACGTCTACTACATCAAAATACTCTAAATTTTGGTTTTCATAAACTCTATAGATAATGTACAAATTAGACTAATTTCTCTTGTTGTCAACGTATAACATGCTGATTAATGATACACTATGAATTCTAGAACTATTTGAAAACTTTCAGCAAATTATGCTGAAATCCAACTTTCTGTACTTTACCAGAGCTATCGATCTCTAAGCCACATGATTCTGAGAATGATGAACAGCAGACAGATGCACATTGCGTACAGTTATGAAAATGCTTACGGCCTGATTATCTTTAGTTTTCAAAAACAACTATAAATGATATGATTTTCTTTGCACCTTTTATCAAGTCTGGACGAAGCGGATAAACAGCTTCAAAACGGCAGTAGAATCATAATGCTGATAGTTAAGTCAAATCTGGCTAGTTTAATATTAATGATTCAAATAAGACCTTGTGTAAATTCATGCATAAAATGAATTAAGTAAACATATAATATTAAATCACTTATAAACTGATCATGATAAACTTGTATGATTTCAAGAAAATACTACATTGTCCTAGAAGCATTCTTCTATCGTTCATAGAATTTGAAATGTTGATAAAAATCTAATTATAAATATGATAATATATTACACTTACAAGAGCATTCACTTGGTCCACATTTGAAAGGAATATTCTTCCATTAATAGTAAGCCCTGTTGGAACACTGACTTCAGAATCTTTAAATGGAAATATTTCTGAAATAGTAAAGTACATACTAAATATACCCGATAATATGTAACGTTACTGAACAGTTTGGCTTAGCCTTAACGTGGTAATATTCATATAGCAGTCCACATATGTTCTATCTAGCTTAAGCCGGTTTGGTGTCTCAAACTTAGAACATCGTATAATATTTATCATTTTCTATTTATAAATACTATTGCTTTTCATACAATAAACATATTAGGCCTTATACTTTACATATCCTACTAACAGAAACTAACCTTAGAATATACACATTTTGATTCTTCTAATATTTGGTAAACAAAACTAAGTTTTGTCTTCTTTAATAATTGACTTAAAGAGCATTTCCGCGATTAAGAATCTTAAAAGACAGAAATTTAGTTTAAACACACATTACCTCCTACCGATCTAACTTCAGCTAACACCAAATCATCCTTCAGCCCAAGCTTCTCTGCAGCGATTCGTTTGATAGTTTCAGCTGTAGCTACGACTGAGGTCTTTAAAGTTGTGTAAGTGTGGTCGCTACAGTACACTCTAAATATAACTGGAAAATGTACGAAAGCCATTTGAAAGTACATGAAATTATATATATATATATACACATATCGAAAGCTTAAAAATGTAGAGATTGAAAGAAGTGAATTTAACCTATTTAACAAAATCTCTCTTATAGCAACGTTAATCCAATGAGTGCTTATTCGCCGTATATGGTATAGCCCGCCTCCGATAGTAAATTGCGAGTGTACTGTATACAGTGTTACGACTCGCATAAATTCCGCGCACATTTAAAGCAGCCACACTCAAAGGGTTAAACTGCAATTTTTTAAAATTATATTTAAGGACTTTATATGTGAGAACAAAGAAAAATATGTGCTTTAGTTAATAGGAGTTTTAATTTTGAGAGAGTTTGTTTTTTGTTTTGAATTTCGCGCAAAGCTACACGAGTGCTATCTGCGCTAGCCGTCCCTAAGTTAGCATTGTAAGACTAGAGGGAAGGCAACTAGTCATCACCACCCACCGCCACTCTTGGGCTACTCTTTTACCAACGAATAGTGGAATTGACCGTCACATTAAAACGCCCCCACGGCTGAAAGGGCGAGCATGTTTGGTGTGACGGGGATTCGAACCTGCGACTCTCAGATTGGGAGTCGAGCGCCCTAACCACCTGGCTATGCCGGGCCGATTTTGAGAGAGAAAAAATATCAAAGCTAAAGACTAACTAAATACGAGTATCCAAATCGTGAATGTTGCTTACATAGGCGTACGAGGCGAGTGAGCTGAAGCGGCAGCCTCCTAGCTTGCAATAGATACTGACAGTCGGGCAAAATTGGAAGCAAAAAATATAGTGGGCAATTTTTAACTTCATTCGCGAAAAACTCATAACCCCTTTCAGACTTCTTACACCACTTTCTTACGATCGAGCTATACATGCACTCCACTTTCCCTTCAACCTTTTTAGTTTGTACATATTCCTATCGGGATCTTTTCTTTTCCTTCTGTTACTCTCATTTTTTTTCATCATCTTCATCGGGATTCGGCCCATGTTTTCTCCCAGGGAGGGTCAGTTCAGCGTATACCTCTTCTTCCCTCTCAGGAATTGTTATTTTGTTTGCACTATTACTGAATCCCAGGTAATAACCCTTGTTACGTTGTTGCATTACTCACAGTATGTTAAATTTTGTCCATTTCCGCAGTTTTAATTACCATACCCTTTTCGTGCCATGTCTAAGTGATGGGGTAATATTAAGTCGTATAATTTTACCAGCTTCATTTACGTATGATCGCACTATTAGTCCGTGTTCACAATACAGTTCCACTTAGCACTCATATACACACACGTAATCATATTTTTACACACAAAACCCTTTTAAAATAGAGCTACGTTTGTGTCTAGGATTCAATTAGCCTAGCACTGTTTGGCATGCAAGTTTCTTATTTAGGATGTATAGAGGGGAGTTGTGTAGAAATTGTGAGTTGTTGATCATGGGACTCTATATGCTTTCGTTAAAATATAGTTTTGTATTTGCTGTAGTTTGTTGATGTGTGTTATACAAGCATATTCTACGACTGATCCTTTGTATGTTCTGTAAATATTTAATATGTTTTCTGGTGAAGCTTTTTGTTTGTTGCCAGTCAGGCTCCTAAGGTAACTCGCTCTTTTCCAAATTCTGATTTTTTATGCTATTAATGTGTGGTATTCAGTTTAATTTTGATTCAAATGTAATCCCTAAGAATTTTGCTGATGTTTCTATCTGTAAGAGAGTCCCGTCTAGATATAACTGCGTAATTAAGTTGCTTGTTTTGTACGATTTTGTAAATAATATGTCTTGTGTTTTGTGCGTATTTATTTTAATTCTCCACTTATTCCAGTACAATTATATTTCGTTTAGTAGTGGTTGTATATCGTATGTTGCTGTTGTTGGGTTTGGGGCACTCTTCCAGACTGCAACATCATCTGCGAACTATGAGCAAAAAATGTGGTTTGGGTCTTCGAGAGGCATGACATATATGATAAACAGTGTCGAGCTAAGTACTCCTCCTTGAGAGACACCCGCCTCTGGAGTGCAGCACCAGAGTAGGTCTGTTACTCCTCTGTCTTTTATATTTCTCTTTCAAAACCGCGCCAAACACAGTCTCTTTCTTCCTGACTTGTACATCTAATATGATAATAATGTTTCAAAATCATAAGGGGGCGTACTGTTTCCATACTGCTGAAGAAGAAAGACAGCCGCTCCCTCTGATCATTTCCTAACAACTTAATGTACTGTAAGTAGTTATCCGGATTGTTGCAGAGGGCGACACGCGTATCGACCTAAGGCAAAAGGAGAGGGGGTAGAAACGATGTCGCCATAGTTCTACGAAGTGAAACCAGAGGGCGAGTTACTAGGCGGAAGTTGTCCAAAGAGTATGTTTCTAGGGGCATGTTGCTAGAATGATATAACAAGCGAAAGTTGTCCAGAGAGTATGTTGCTAAGAGCACGTCAGGCCACCATGGCAGGCGGAAGTTATCTGCTGCCAGAAGATGTGTTGCTATGGCCACGAAGTGGAACCAGAAGATGCACAGATAGTTCGCGGATCGTCAACTTTATAGTAATAATCTTAAAGTCTTAAAATTAATAATGTAATCTAATTTGCACAATGTTGATTTTTAAATTATCAGTACTGAAAAGTTTATATTACAATTACAAGTTCGCTTTATAAGTATAACTTATATTAAATCTGATATTCTACTCGATAGTTTTTATCATTATGGGCAACTTTTTAGATTTTGCTTAAATATTCAATTGCATGACATACTTTTTGCCGTTTCTAGAGCTAGATTGTGTTAGTATCACCTGTGTTGCTATAGGTGGATGCTACCACAAGGCTGATGGTGTTTCTATAGACGGATGCTATTACCAAGATTCTATAGGCGGACGTTGTTACTAAGGGTAATGTTTATTTAAACAGATGCTGTTACTAGGCATATTGTGTGTGTGTGTTTTACAAAGGCGAACGGTGTTACTATACTTCTGTAAGATTGCATACAGATTTCAACTTGTCTCAACTTATGTTTATAGTTTTCATTTATGTATTACATGTATTTGAACAGGAGGATAGTGTTACTAACACATTTAAGGTACTGCTGAAATCCTTTTATATTTTTTAATATTGAACAAGAAAGATTATTGTATTTTATAATTTAGTAAGCATTTAACATATTGATTATAGTTTTCACTTCTATATTTAATCTTACTTTTTACATTTTCTGACGTTTTATATGTAAACTACTTATCGCTAATTCATTTCTATAATTAATATATAAGTTCTATTCACCATGAAAAGGACGCTTAGTTAAATCTCATGTTTAGCTTTATAAGTTTATCATTAAAGTTTATAAGTAACCATGTTTAACTATTACTATTTGTAGAGGTGTTATTCTTACTTTCCTACAGAAAACTTTTCACGAGTCTTGTTTGTTGATGGATTAGATACAATGCTTATTGATTTTTATTAAAACATGTCATTACAGTGTGACGAATTTGTTATGTATGTTATGTATTTATTTTAATATGAACGTTGTTTAGATTTAGTTTATATTTAGAAACATACATGACTCCCGCCTATTATCCAAAGTTGTAGAAGATTCTCGAGAGTAAGAATCAACAATACATGTATGTACGTAAACGCTTTAACTAATATTGTTACGTAAGACTGAAATTTCTAGAACGCCTCCACAAAGTTATAAATATAACCAACGCGACGCGCCAAAATGAGAGTGTCTATTAGTAGTTCGCTATGATCAGTACCTATAAACTTCGAAAGCTATAACTGTAACTATTATAACGCTTATCAATTGGAAAGCTTCAGATATTTGACTAGGAATCATTACAAAGTTCGAACATTACAAATTATTTAACTTCAGCGGATTCTCATCGGACATTAGTATTTTTACGAACATATTACCTAACTTCAACGGTAGAAAATCTAGCGTGTGTGGCCAAGGACAAAGCTAGCTAGCTTCCCGGAGAATCTTACTTACATCAACTCGTAATTAACTCGCTCATCGTAAACCCTCGATAAGATATCAAGGGAGTTCCAAACTAGAAAAAAGATTTTATATTATTTGTAAGTTTGTAAAGCTTTTGTTTATAAACCATTGTTTGTAATAACTATTTGTAATAATTGTTACTGTAAATTGTATTATTGTGTGTATATTAAAACGTATTTGTGTTAAAAACGAAAACGGTGTGTATCAGTCTTGTTGGCAAATATCGTAAATTGACTAATATATCAGTATATATTTAGATACTAAATCCAAAGTACAATTTAACTACTAAATTTTAATTTATCAGTTAACTCAATTTCAGACCATTTGCAATTCTAATACGTAACAACAGACATAAGCGAACTTTCTTCTGCAATAGATATTAAGAACACAAAACAAGGTCTGATAGGTCACGCTTTCAATATATTACTGATGCATACCAGCTGATGGCAAGTTTAGAAAGTTTTGACTCTTGGGTCCCCCTAAGGCTAAAACATATAATGCTTTCATTTCTATAAAACTGACAGACGAACAATAAATTCTAGTTCCGTATATTTAAGAACTTCTCTTTATGTACACTATAACATTTAAAATGTTAGTTCACCAAAGCATCAAATACATTTTTCACAAATGAACATAACTGAAAAAGAATTAACAATCATAATCGTAAAAGGACCTTTAATTATAAATCAAGTGATTATTCTTCGAGTATTTCAAAGCAGATATTTTCCTCACAAAGATTTTAAAACATTTTTAGGTAGCATACGATGAATTATATTTCACTGGCACTTTATGGAAAGATCATTAAATATATATTGATCATCAGTTACAAATTAGTGTTCTGCGATTTTCTTTATATAAAACTCCCATTTCATCATAGCTCAATATGCTATCATTAATATATCTGAGTAAAATAACAGACTTAAAAAAGTATCGTACATGCTTAACAAAACTTCAGGTACACTAATATACTATTTACGTAAGCATTGTAGTTTATAAAATACTGGATTAGCTTTCATGCAACTATTTGTACATTATGTCCATATTACTATTTGATCATTTCAATGTGTAAGATTTTATATAGTTGATAAACGATAGTGTACAATTCTTCTATTTCAACTGCACTTTACACCAAAAACATTTTACTCAATACTGTACCCGACATACAGCAACTGGGCAAAAGTTCAAATAGGGTCAGTCTACAAATACAGCTTAGGTTTTTTTGTTCAAAATGAAAGATACTTTCACTATCATTGATTCCATTTTACTTTTAATATTTATGATGTCTACTTAGACTTAAAAACTACATCAACTTTACACACATGTGAAATGTATGAGATTTACAATTTCATTATACAACACTCGAATCGAGAATACTTAATTGTTTCTGGATAGTGTTTATAAAGTCAGTTACATATTCAGACATATCAGTCTACAACAAACAGAATAATTTTTGTTTTAAATCTTAACAAGCCTCTGACAAGCATGTTTCAGACTCAGAAAATGTAATTTTTCAAAACATAGATTTTTGAAACAATATTACGGTATCATGTAATAATTTTTCACCTAAAAATCAGTTTTACTATATATCAGACAAAATATATTGTTCTCAAGTATTATATGTTGAGTCTCAAGGTGAGGTCGATTTATAGATACTTATTGACCAGGGTCACACACATAGAAATGGTGTGGACTTCTTCAACATATTGCAGCTGATAGCAAGCTGACAGACAAACCAGAAATTCCATTTCCGTATCTTTCACAACTTCTCTTTATGTGCACCATAATATTTAAACTTATTAGTTTACCAAAGCATCAAATACATTTTTCATAAATGAACGTACTTTATAACCGAAAAAAAGAGTTAACAATCATAATCATAATCGTAAAAGTACCTTTAGTTATAAATCAAGTAATTATCTTTCGACTATTTCAAAACAGGTATTTCCTCACGTGGATTTTGAAACTGTTACGGTAACATGAATTATCTTTTCATTTAAAAATCATACAAATAGTCAGTTATAAATCAGTTTTCTGTGATTTTGTTATGTAAAACTTACTTTTCATCATAGCCTAATATGTTATATTATGTAAATAAAATCTCAGACTTAAGTATCACACATACTAAAATATTTGTTAACAAAACTTCAACGTACACTAATATAATGTTTAATTAACATTTAATTCAGGACAAATCTTGTGTATCCACAAATTTTCTTTAGTGCGGAGCATTTCTTTAGAACCTGCACTCCAAGATGTTAAAGTGTTTTGAAGTGACATTTGTATTACAGTCCTGTGTCAAGTATAGGTACTTTCTCTTGTAAGTTAGCAGGGATTTTGTTGTTTTTTATCTCATGTAACTAATGAATTTACGGTAAAAATAGTTTTGAATTTTCCAAAGACGTGTCCAAACTGTTTTTTGACGAACCCGTCTATATTGCCAGTCTTGACATTGAATCCTTATATACAAATTTACAGTTAATGATGTAATTGAATTAAGTAGTAATTTAATTTTACAAAATTCTGATGTTGTTAGGGGTAAAACTAAACCTGTTTTTATAAAATTATTAGAACTTGTCACCACAGAGTCAATTTTTTTTAATGGTTGTCGTTATGAACAACTTGATGGGGTGTCTATGGGTTCAGTTGTTGCACCAAGTTTGGCTAATTTGTTTTTAAGTTATTACGAAGAAAAATGGTTAAAAAGTTGTCCGGAAAAGTTTAAACCATTATACCATAGAAGATATGTTGATGATACATTTGCAGCTTTTAAGAATAAACCTGATATTCAAGAAATTAAAAATTATCTGAACAATCAACATAATAATATTAGATTTACAGTTGAAGAACAAACAGCTGATAGTTTACCTTTCTTAAATACCAAGAATGTTAATTTAGGTAGCAGTTTTAACACTAAGTGCTATCATAAGCCAAATTTTACAGGACAATATTTTCATTTTGATAGTTTTTATACCTTTTTAATTTAAAAAGAACCTAACTTATAATTTAATTCATCGGGGTTATAAAACAGTTAGTTCTTTTTCATCATCCCATGAAGAAATACAAAACATAAAGGTTGTTTTACATAAAAATAGTTTTCCTGTACAATTAATTGATAGTTTTATCAGGAATTATTTAAAAGATTTGAACACTCCAAAAATTAGTAAACAGGTTGAAAACAAAAAAAGTAGTTTATTGCATTTTACCATTTACTGATAATCATTCTGTAGAATTAAGGAAAAAATTAAATCTATTCTGAATAATAAAATTTATCCATATATTAAGCCTAGAATTTTCTTTAAACTGATGTTTCATTTAAGTAATTATTTTATATATAAAGACAGGATTGCTATAACGCATCGCTCTTGTGTCATATATAAATTTATATGTATTAAATGTAACTTTGGCTATGTGGGCTCTACAGTACGTTGTCTGAGTTCACATATTAAAGAACATGTGCAAAACACAGCATATAATCAGTCGTCCGCACGCTACTGTTTACAGGACTGGGACGCAAATGTCACTTCAAAACACTGTGTACAGCAAAGAAATGCTCCACACTAAAGAAAATTTGTGGATACACAAGATGCGTCCTGAATTAAATGTTAATTAAACAGCGTCACTTTTGCTTCTAAAAATATAATATTTACGAAAACATTTTAGTTTATAAAATCCTGACCTGTGCATGTCTAGCTTAGTCTTTTATGATATGTTACACACCATGAATATTAGTTTCTAACATCTAATACAAGTCTCCATTTATATTTCATATATAAAACTCATGCTTCATCATAACCCAACGTACTATCATCAGTATACGTAAGTAAAAATCACGTATTTAGAATGCATACTGAAACATTTATTAATAAATCTTCAAGGTATACTAATATATTATTTACGTAAACATTTTAGTTTATAAAATACTAATTGTAATAATACCTGCAGTATATACTTGTTTTAGCATGTTAGTAGTCAAAAGAATAAATCACCATAAACAAAACATAAGAGGCATTGAAATATTTTTGTCAATAACTTTTATTGTTATCCCAGGTATTTTACAGGTTTTGTATTTCTTAAAGTCTTCAAAGGTAATGGTAGAAAACTGATTGTTTCCCAAGTAGTGGTCGATGACATGCATGTAACTAATAATCAAAGGTCAAAGCATTGCTCATATAGTTTTACCCTTTGGTGCCATTTCTTGGAGAGTTCCTTCATTTCAGATTATATATATATGTGTGTGTGTGTGTGTGTGTGTGTGTGTAAAATTGAAGTATAAACGTACTTACAGTCATGGGTTATAACTGCATATTTTGTGGTGGATATTTTCAAAATGTACAATCATTAGTTTTGTTTATAGAGACGTATTTTATTTACATAGCTATTTGATTGAACATTTAGATATTCCCCAATTGTTACTACATTGGGCCAACTTAGTGAGATCAGCTTTGTTAATACTATTGGTGTATATGAGCTTTCAAGTACGTCTAGATGTTCATTTTGTATTGTCTCTTAAGTTTATCAAAAAAAGTTAACCTAGACACATAATTATCTAACCTTTGACAAAACGAATAATAAAACTGGGTGTTCTTTGTATAAGTGTAAAAGATAATACATCACATGTCACTGCAACATTATTTCAAAACCTATGTTAAAATGTATCGTGATAAATTTAGTGTTTGTTTACACATATTGTTACACAGAAGAAATATATAAACTCTAACCGAAGTAGTAATAAGAGCATAATGTACAAAAGTTGTATGAGAGCTAATACGGTATTTCATAAACTAGAATGTTTATATTATATTAGTATAAATAATTGTTTCAGTATATACAAATTAATAAATGATGTCCTGATATTACATTATTCTATTCCGAGATACACAAATATTTTAATGGAAACTTACTTTCGTCTCTAGACTTGATTGGCTGACTTTCCTCCTCGTTTTCTTCAGCAGAACCACTGGATGTTAGTCTTTCTATTTGACCGCTGTTTGAAACCTTCCATCGCTGAGGTGCAGTGCTTGCTAATTCCTCCTGAAATCTTTTAAAGATTTGCGACTGAGATATTAAAATATTACCCTATGTATTTGCAGTTAGTAAAGCCGTTCTTATTTAATATGAAATGAAAAACGACTTTTTAAATGTAATAAAAATGACGAATCACTAAAAAAGATGATTTTCGAGAAAAAATATGCTGATTTTATTATAAAATACGTGCACTTTAAAGCAGTAATTAAAAACAAAATTTAAAACTGATATTTAGTTATTGGATTATGTAGACGATTACTTTGTAGATGCATCTATCTTTTCTAAAAAGTTGCAATTCTCTCTCTCGAAGAGTTCAAGAGTCTTTCAATGGCTCAACAGTAAGTCTCAAGGCTTATAACGCTAAAAACCGGGTTTCAATACTCGTGGTGAGCACAGCGCTGATAGCCCATTGCGCAGCTTTGTTTTTAACAACAAACAAAGAAAAGAGCTCAACAAACAGTCCGTCTGAAATATTTTTAAGAGAACAAATAGGGAAGCACTAAAACAACTTCTATTCATACCTTCAGGCAAGTTACTTGTTCGTTTGTTTGTTACCAATTTTCGTTTAAAGCTTCACAAATGTTAACCGTCCCTAATTTTAAATTGATATACTAAAGGAAAAGTAGTTCGTCAACAGCACCTATCGTCAACGTTTATGATAGTTTAATCCAATAATGATATTTGACCTTCATTTTATAATGCATCCATAGCCACAAACTGCGTAGCGCGATATTGAGGCAACGGGATGCGAACCATTGACCCTCGTATCCATAGTCTGATTACACTATTCGCTATGCCACTCCCGGTCCACAGGAAAGTTAAAATATTCTTTATAGAATAACACTATTCACATGTTTTGTTTTTTGTTAGATTAGGTTCGTCTTCGGCATAAACAGTTTTGTTTTTTAAAAACTAAACCTTCTTATTAACGAATTATGTGTTCTTTATTTTAGCATGTGAATACAGCAAGTAATGAATTTATTTTTAGTTAAATTTATTAGCTTCACATCATCTTACAAAGAAATAAGGTAAATTTCTGCTACAAACCTCCTTTGTTTATAAAAAAAAAGTCAAACCATTTTTTACTTTTGTATTCTTAGCTTTAAATTAAGATTAAAGATGATACAAATATTAGCTGTAAAACGTTAAAGTAACTTTCTCTAACCTTTGTTTGGCATCGATCATTTTAGTCAGTAGTTTAACTTCCATTTGAAGATGTCCAAGGTAGAATTCGCAGTCTTGAAACAGTAACGCTTGCAAGTCCTAGATAAATGGAAAGTGTACGTATTTTTTTCTGTATTAAATCATGTTGTTTCACATAGTACACAATTTTACAGATTTGTAATTAGTAAAGTAAAGGTACTACTAAGGGATTATTGAATATACAACTTTCTTTTGACAAAAATTAAAATTATTTACAGAATTTCCGGCTTCCTGTCACTTATTAAACAAGTTAATGAAGAAATAATAGTGTATGTTTCAATTTACTAATTTATGACCAAAAATAATTGAAAACAAAATGTACCACAAATTATTTGCGATGAAATTAATATTTCATGATTAACATTGATTCGAAGTTTCGTATTATTAGGATTAGTCAACTCAAGAAAGTATTTTATAACATTTCCGGGAATAATTTGTAAGTTAAGAAGTCAGCATCGGATTCTTTTTTTCTACAAAATTTATACACAAAATAGATATCTGTAACAACGATATATATGTAAATAATATGATACTATAAAACGATATTAACTAAAGTCTTTAGCCAATGTGTAACTGTAACCACTCAAAACTTCACATCAAAGATGAAAGTGATAAAAAGAAACTTTTTCTTTATTTTTATCAAAGAAGTGCTATAAATTACGAAACATAAGCTACGGAATCATTGCAACATAATTTACATCTACTATGTTTTAGAGGTAAAAAAGTTAACAAAACAATTACTTTAAACACAATTTCTGTGTTTCTGTATATTGTTGATTAATATTTATAACAACTTTCCCATACATTAACAATATCAAAATCTGCTTGCAGTAAAATTTGTACTATATATTAGTAAACGGTCAACGAACGCGAAAATATCCTCAGAAATAAATGTAAGTGTTTATAAACAATTACACGTTACTAAGCATTCTTTTAATATCCGAACTATGGACCTCCCGATGTTCATAGTTTTAAGTTCTGCACCACATTTTAGGAACATAAACTGTAAAAAACTTTAAAGTTATCTGATAAAGAATTCCTTGAAAGATCGGGTTGTCCAACAATTTAAATGTTTTTGTTTCATTTATTCTATTCTTTGTTTTTTAATTTGCCTCAAGTGTTAGAAATAATATTTAATAGTTTATTCTTAATGATTCAGACAAAGGTTTATAATTGTATCTCATGTCACTAAAAACTTTAATTTTCAGAAAATCTTTATTTCTAGTAGTTTAGACTTAAGGGTATCAAATATTTTTCTCCATCCAGAACTTACATGCGCTTCAAGATGTAAGTTGAGGACTAAGAATGCCTTAATGCTCTAAGTAATGGCACAATGTTTGTAGGAAATTTAAAGATTTAACCGTCTTTAATCCTTACATGATTAAACATAAGAAAATACGTGTGTGTACAGCACATGTAACCATTGCCTTAGGAAACAATTTTTGAGTTGTCAGGCCATTTTTACAGCTAAACAATGTGACACACGATGTGTTAAAAGCACACTACTCGACAAGCAAAGCAAGGCATTTCTAGTGGAGTCTGAAAAACATGCACCCACAGAAAATGTTTGAAAATTTAAAGCCATTAGATTGAATCTTGACCCATTTTCACTACAAATACTGTATACACACAACGTAATGTATTGAATTAAAATAATCAAGTTGTAATAGATAAGTTATAGCTATCTATGCCATGAAAAACAAAGTGGCCAGGCAATGGCTTGACTGGCCTTACCGTTTCCTATGGTCCTGGTAACATATTTGACCCATTGAATTCTAAGTCTTTCGAGCCAATAGTACTAACCCTACAATGTGATACTGGGTAAAGTTGAATGCTGTAGTGCTTGTGTATGCAAGCTCATAATGAGGCCACAGTTTCTCTAAAATTACTCAAAAGAGTTATTTTATGCACTTCCTTATCATAGCATTACGTGGTATTGAAAATACTTATACCTTAGAACAATCTGATAAGAGGTGCTTAGGAAACTCAACGACTCTGTTCTGTGTGTGTGATAAATTACAAACGTCAGGTATTCCTGTAATATATGAATAGCAAGCAACAACTAACATATTCTATATATGAAAAATTATTACCGTTTTTATATATTTATAATGCTAGTAAAAAGGATAACTGCCATTTAAATCTAAGTAGCAAGCACGCTAGCGAGAACGTGTTTCCCTTTACTTACGTCTAAAAAACTGCAGAGAGTTTGATCTTCAAAGAAAGCCTCTCGTACAACAATGGCCCAAGTGTGAACGAATTGTACTACTCGTCGTTTGTTGGCGACAATAAACTCTTTCTCGTGACGGGAGTTGGCCACATCTAATTTATAAGTTGATCAGTTAAGACTATAATATTATTTTGAGTCACAAAAAAGTGGTATCAGATTTTTAAATAAAGCATGTAAAGCATATACGTCACACAAGTCAAAGTTTTTGAATAATTAAGCTGTTTAGCCTGTGAGAATAACGATGCATTAAGGCTAATAATATCAGATTTTTAAACAAAGCATTTAAAACATATACATCACACAAGTCAAAGTTTGTGAATAATTAAACTGTTTAGCCTGTGAGAAGAATGATGCATTAAGGCTAATAATATCTTTAACATCTCACTCTTATCACTTCCAGCATTTCATTAAGGAAACAGAAGGAATAAGACTTCATAGCAACTGCGTAAAATAAAGCATAATTGAAATAATTTTAATATATTTTTCTTGTGAAGTCCATACTTGGCCATTTAAGAATTCTGATGTTCCAATATTTACTAGAATGAAACACTATATGTAAAATCTATCAAGTTCCTTGGGAAGCATTCAATATGTAAAGACATGTGTTTTGTTTTGAATTTCGCGCGAAGCTACCTAATTTACTAGTGCAAGACTAGAGGGAAGACAGCTAGTTATCAACACCCACCGCCAACTTTTGGACTACTCTTTTACCAACGAATAGTAAGATTGATTGTCAAATTATAACACCCCCACACCTGAAAAGACGAGCGTGTTTGGTAGGACGGGGAGTCGAACCCGCGACTTGCAGATTGCGAGTCCAGCGCCCTAACCACTTAGCCATGCTAGGCATTAAAGATTTGTGATAAATTCTTCATGGAAAAACAAGTAGTTCTTTCAAAGTAATTCTCTAAGTAAAAACATTTGATGTACCCATATATTATTAACGGCGGTTTTGTCAATTAGCTTATCCCAACTATAATTTGTAGCACTCAATTCCAATTACTCGCCTTCTTACTTATCATTCCAATATGAATATTAAGTAATTGTTACTTGTTTCCACACTCAGTTTTCCAAAAGCATATTTAAGCAACAAATCAGAGAGACCCGTGTAATTATAATTTCTAAATTCTGTAGTAATTGTACGTTTTCACATCTGTACAGTAAAAGCGTCATAACTAATCATACAGGAGCATCATTTGGTAAGTCATTTTGTTTGTTACACTTAAATTGGATTTCGAATTCATGTGTACTTTATTTTTTGCAACAATATAATGTTTTTAAACTAAACAGTATAAACTGATTCATTTTAAACAACAAATAGCTTTATTCCATCCTAACTTTCATCTCCAATCACGTAATAATTTGAGAAATAATTTTTTTTTGTAAGAGATGTTGAAAGTATATAATATTGTTTCATCTCAAAACAAACAAAAAGTAATTTTTGTGCCAGGAATCAATGACCTTATAAAGGTACTGACACATGTTGTTATCGTAATGTATTTTAGTAACAAGTATTATTAATATCCAACGTCAAGGGAACAAACTTTTTACGAAATTGTTTTCCCTCTTTACGTAACTTATAAAATTGGAATGTTTATTGAGAGTTGGAAATGAAAAGAAAAAAACCTTCTTCAGTAATTTCACACCATATACGAATACTTGAAATGATTCACTGCTTAGGAATTTTAAGTTTCTACATTTTATAAGATATTCATTTAAATATTTCATTTAGTTGCAACTATTAATCATGGCCAATTCTTTCAACCTATTTTATACATCTGTTTATCGTGTAAAATACTTAGGAATCAAGAAATATCAAAATCACCTTTGTTCTTCTATTTTCTAATAAAGGAAGCAAACTATTGGACACTTAAAAAACTAAATAATAAACCTATTTTAAAAAATTGGAAATAACTAGCTAAAGTTATATTATTTGTCAGTGATACTCTCCCTGAGATTTGTGTTTTTTTACGACAGTAATTTTTACAGAATCACATATCTGAACATATGAATTAAGAGGAAATTTTTCATCATCTCAGATATTTGTTTATTTTCAATATTTTATTACTCAACTAAAACAATATGTAGAGCATGCGTTTTCTTGATATTAGTTCAGCTGTGAATATATATAAATATGACAAAGACTAAACACGAATAATACTCACAACTGTTCCTGTAATATTATTAATAATGACAGTTTTTAACTAAAAACACGTAATATGTACAGTTATCTGTAATATTTGGATAAAACGGAAGTATATTACGACGATTTACATATAAACATAGCTATACATAAATTACCATAAACTTAACACGTAATCTTGTTTAATCCTCTAAGATTTTCTTATTTAAGATAAGTATGTCTGACAGTGTACAACGTGTAGTATTTATTCATAATGTGTAGGAGCAAGATAAGGCAGTTTACTTGATAATCCTTTCAAGGTATGACATTAATTTCTGTCGGTTTGGACTAATATCTGGTAGAAGCAAAATCTGAAGTTATGAAAATTAGAATTACTTAGTAAGTAATTACATTTATTTCTCAGGTACATAGCTCCCATTTCTTTTTTTTTGTTTTAAATCAATCTGAAAAAAAACAAAAAAAAACAACAGAAAGCAGCACAAGAGAGGGAAGTCCAGCACTTAACAGTATTATTAAGATACTTCATATAACAGGTACTTGCATTTCTTGACAAATCTGAGTAACAACTTCCAAACAAATATGGTATGAATGAAAATATTTCATGCCTGTTTCACGATTGACACAATATTATCGTGAATCAAAAAAAAACAAATTTTATCCAAATATAAGTTTTTATAATTAATAGTTTGAAATAACTTATCCAAGAGTTAATAAAACAAGATTTAGCATCTTTAAGAACCAAGATTTCCATAAATCATATATTTTCTTAAATAGAAATATACCATAATCGATAAAACAGAACACGTATCTAATTTAATCCTAATTTTTCCAAAAGGAAAATATATCTGTTCTATGGTCAAAGGAACCAGGCAATCAAACAGGTATGCAACCATGTACTCTAGTGATAAGTGAGTGATATAGCAAGGATATCATGAACGTTAAAGAAACGTATAAAATGCAAAATGGTAATCTATCTCAGTCATTTTCGAGTTATCCAGGCTTATGATATCTAACGTGTTAGAGTTGCAAGTCTGTTTAAGCATATACAATAATCGTCATTGCTCACAAAATACCAAGTAAAAATATTTTAAATTCGTAGGTAAATACAGCTGACAGGAGTTAGTGACCACATGGCCGACACTTAGGCGTTGATCTACTTAGTTTCCTATATTTAAAATGGAAGTATTTATCATTATCTATTTTAGGCACAAGTAATTACTGACAAGACATTTTCGGTCGTATTTAACTTATATCTAAGAGTACTCGTATCAGTCTTAATGTTCCACATATCTCAATTTAAACGACAATGACTAAAATACGAATCAAATTTAATCTAAAATAGTCAATAAAGGAGGGAAGAATTAAAGGTGTGAGGGTGAAAAGATATAACAAATAATTGTTCCATCACAATGAATAGAGTTGTTTTATCACATTTAACATAAGAAAGTACACCTGTATGTGCTGTTTCTCATCTATTCATCTCATGCGAAGAAAAAAGTTTTTCGTATTATATTTTTTTTTCTGTAACCTCTGTACACAACTCAACAACATAAACCAAAGCAGCTCTCAAAAGTATCTCGATTTTATTACTCATCAGAATCTCTAACAGACTACCCTAAAATTGAAATTCTTTCAGGTAGAATTAGAGTAAATTAATCTATGAGACCTTAGGCATGGCCAAATACATCAATCTAAATGGTTTGACCTTCTGAGTTCAAAACTGTAATTAGATCTCAAAGATGTAAGAAAATCAAAAACAAAATCAGAGCCGTTCAACGAGCCACTATGCAGCGACTAAAAACCACATTAAATGGAACAAACTGTCACAAATCTTGATATTAGAGAAACTAGTTTCGATACATTTGTGTGTTCTATTCAAACTCAAGTTGTCTTCTGGTAGGCAAACTGTTCAACAACGCCTATGTGATTTCGGAACCTCAAACTCTTTTACAGACACTAAAGAAAAGGAAGTTGTTCGAGGTTGTTGAAATTATGAAGACTTTGATTAAGTGGCTTTCGACGATTCTTCTTTTAATGAAGTAATTATTTTTCTATAAAATTATTGTTGATTTTTAGTTTCATGGTCAGAATCTCTCATATAGAGTAAAATGGCATTGCTTGTATTTCTATATCTAATACCTTTTTTATGCTTATAAACTCTTACGTTAACACTTTTTCCTGTTTCATCTACATAATATTTCACATAGCATTGGCATGATATAATATAAACACCTTGTTTTTTATCTTCATGTGTTGTACTACTTGAAGTTATGATATTTTCCTGGAGTTCGGATATATCTCAACGTAAAATGACTGGTATTGCAAAATTTTATTTTTACTTCCATTAGTTAGTTGAATATGCTAACTTCACATTTATGATACGTTATGGTGTGAGTTATAAATGTATTGACCCGTTAATCTGATAATTCATGAATAAAAAAAGTTAAACATCCCCCACTTTTATAATAATAGTATATTAAAAGCATTTGATTGTAATTATGCACAAAGCTACACAAGGGCTATCTGTGCTCTGCCCACCACAGGTAATTCCGCAGACATGCCGCTGTGCCAGTGGGGGGACTATTAAAAGCAATAAATAAATATAAATAAAAATCAATGACATTAAATTTACTAAATGTTATAACTAATATCGTTTTTGAAAGTTATAATATATCATACCTTACTTAGAGGACATAGGAACACTAACTGTTGGCTTGAACGATTGTTGTAGAAGTAAATTTGTTTGAAAAACCTAACCTTCTTATAACATGCATATTTATTCTACAATTCTCCTTAGCACGTCTTTTGTCCTCCAGTGGCACAGCGGCATGTCGACGTACTTACAACGCTAGAAATCGGGTTTCGATACTCGAGGTGAACAGAGCACAGAAAGCCCTTTGTTTGGCATTGTGTTTAACTACAAACAGCAACAGCACGTCCTTTGACCGAGGAAAACTCAT